AGTCTTCATGTGTTATTCATGTAGTAATGTTTTTCGTTCATGCTTCGTGTTATTTAGTCCCCTCCCCCCCTCAAACAGACCCGGGACAAAGTATTACAAGTTAAACATTAGCATAAAACTCGAAATGCTTTGACACTACAATTTATATGTACGGTATGTGTTTTACACCCCCCACCCCCTACGACACAACTTAGATCATTAAGGAGGCGAGCTGTGACCTTGCCTTTGAGAGTGCCACCTGGTCTGAGAGGTATACAACGTCCCAAGAGAAAGACCGAGATGCTTAATACAAATTCACCTCATACGGGAATCAAACTCGGGTCTCCTACATGCGACGTTTAAGCGCCTAACAGATAATCTGTTTTAGTTTCTGAATGTTCGTAGTCCCTTTTTATTTCTTTTTGTTTATGTTTTGCAGTTGAATACATGTCTTTATGCCCCTTGTGTCTGTATACCGAAATATAATGTTTGTAGTTCGCTGTCGATAGGGTATTTTAAAAGGGTGTGTTGTAGACCTTTTTGGAGGCCTCCAACTCTTATAAAAACCGAACCCTTTTGGTAGAAAGTCTTGATGACTTCCCCAAGCAGCCCGAGAAATAGAAGGAGACATTAGGGACTTGAGCTTGGGTCATTTGCACCATAGCCCAGCATGACAGCATTTAAGTTGACGGCGCGCCTTTATAGTTCTTTCTACATATTGACCGACCAGTACCAAACACGACTTTCCTAAGCTGGCTGTCCGTCCAGTGTTTCTGTCTGTCGTGCGACTACCCTCCACCAGCCATCATCCAGGGTTTATGAAAAATTGATATTAATGATTTGCAATGGCCTTTGCAACGGCATAGTTACGCCCCCACTGATTCACTGGTCCAGTCTAGTTTTCTCGCCGTTCTGGGACTCCGTTGTTTTCAGCTAGCCTGAGCAAAGTCGGTGAAGTTAGAATTATATAATACACTAGTAGTTTTGTTCAGTTCATTCTGAGCAAATGGTCTTAGCTTGAAGTGGAAATGATCCTAACATTTTGGACGATAGAAACTGCGTTGTTCAATTTTTGGTGTAATATTGTGTGACAAGTGACCTTCTTTTCTCTCTTTATTTCATAGATGCTTGTGGTGCAGGAGTCTACACGACCGCCCTCATACGCTCAGTGTAAGTATTTGTGTCTTTCTGGCCGGAGCACCAGGTTCGTCTCACTGTGCTCTTTGCGGAATGCCCGATCTTTTCTTCAGAAGTATACCTTTTTTTTTTTTTAAAGAATTGAATGCTACGGCTTAGTAATACCAGACAAAAAGAAGTGGTTGCAGTCTAACCAACTTTGTGTTTTCATAATGCTTTCTTTCACCCAATGAAAATTTTGTAGAAATTTTGCATGTCAAGTTATGCCTTTTGCTTTTTTTCTTCCATTTGTTCTGTCTCTCTCTCTCTCTCCCTCTCTCTCAGACTCTCTCTCTCTCTCTGTGTCTCTCTGTCTCTCTCTCTCTCTCTCTCTCTCTCTCTCTCTCTCTCTCTCT